CACGACGCCTTGTGTCCAGGCATGTGTGCGGTTGCAGATGTTATGGGATACAATAAAATCATAAAAAAACAAGCCACTATAGAATGCTTCCTTTGGGATATGTTGGCTATATCTACACCTTAATTTTATTCTGACAGCTCTGTGCTCTGTGCAAAACAGTACAACTCGCTTGAGTCATTAAGAATTAACGAATAATTTAGAACCATTATCCAACAACCGAATGAATGAAAGCCTCCCCAGGTTATGTTACTTTGCTGATGGGTGTCTTTTTGCCATACTTCGCCACGCTGGTCATTGCCGGTTGGTGAAGAAGAAAGCGGAGGGCAGCACTAGTTCTGGTAGAATGTCTAGTGCACCGTGCTATGCACCCAGCGACCCCAGTTCGATTCCCGGCCAAGACTTAGGATCAGTCGTGAGTGACATCATAAAAAAAATACACCTTTAATGACCGCCAGCCAAATGGATGATCATAATGTGCATACATTTACTTGACGTATAAAATATGGAATCATGACAAAAGTTATGGTTTTGACAATTTTTGTCAGATTTGAGCTTCACCAATAACGAGTGAACGTTTGTGTTTATAATTCCATAATGGATCAAATAAATAATGAACGGTTACATAATATTTTGGTAGTTGCGGTTACCATAAGACAGAAAGGGTTTTCCCTCATTTAATTCGAGGTTCTTTCGTCAACGGAGTCCATCAATAATTGCAAGTAAAATAATAAAGAAGCAGGTAGCAAAAAGCTCCTCGAAAAAGGCCAGACCTTTTCTAATAACTTAACCTCGGCCTCCGGTGTCAATGGTCACACGATTAATTGTGCCGATGCACACCGAGGGCTTTAATGACCCTGAAATGTAAAGCCCTGACGAAGACGCAGCGGCGTAGCTCATTGCAAATTCAGCAACTGTGCTCCCCACACCCCCCCCCCCCCCACATTCCGAACGCTCCCAACCCAGCACTCCCAGCTCTCTCTCTCTCATGCGTCCAACTGACGGCGTGCGTTAAGCAGAAACGCGGATGGTGTTGCGCACAATTAGGCTTGAAAAATACCCGATTCCTCATTGAAAACACTTTTTGGCAAAGACGTTGCCTTTTGTGGTCTCAATTGTTTTGGCGGGGCTTGGGGTGGGTTGATAAGTCACTTTCCTCGCAACCGCTGGAATAAGCCGAATAGAAGCTTAACATATACACGTAAGATTGTACTTCATGAAAAGCAGGTTATTTTCCTGTTTTGGACTATTTAAGAGCGAAATAGGATTTCTCCGCAACGCTGGCTGTCGCCTGATGATGCTGGTTGTAATTTACCGGCAAAGTGTCGTACTCGAATTGTAAACGTTGTGGGTTTACCTCTCCAACACACAGGTGTGCTGTACTAGTAACGAACTGGCATGTTTTGTTTAAGTGACAAACCTCACTAATTGGCTGTGTCGGGTGGTGGCGAGTTTAACGACACATTTATATTATGCGATCTAACCCTAAAAAATATATTTTACGGAAAAGCCAGGTCATGGTTCGTTTTGGACTGCAAGGCTCTTCTTCAATAACAAACTTGGACAATGCGAATGATAGTGATAAAATAAATATACACTCCTCCAAGTCCACATGAATAGTTAATACAGGATAGGTGGCTCAAGTGGTAGAGCGGCCGTCTCGCAAGTGGAAGGTTTCGAGTTCAATTCCTGGTTGCGCAGCGACTCAACCTGTCATTCATCTCGGACTAACACAATCAATACCACTGTGTGGTTAGCCTTTGGATAGACTCATCCCCCGTCATAGGAATGAGGATTTTCAACTGAATCTCAGGTTTAGAATCAGAATGTTCATTTATCCTGGAAAATTTTATGAGCTATGAAGCTCTTCTTCAACAGATGTCCAACCACTGACTCGGTGTTATGTAACAAGAGAAGATCACCACCTCGCCGTTCATTTGAGCCGGAATTCACTTTGACTTATTTTGGAAACACGCTGTTCTGTATGGATTGTTTTTTGTTTTTACTCTCTGTGCTATGAATTCGAAGTTATGCATCCGTTCAAGATGATAAGCTCCCCCCCCCCCCCCCTTAAATATCCTGTGTTCAGTCTTCTGGTGTCCTGCTAACCCCATGTGTGTGGGAGCATGACAAACCAGTGATGTATATCTCAGCCAATTAGTTATATCTGGACCTCAAGTATCTCCTCTGAGTCTCCACATCCATCTGTGGGAGGATGCATGTTTTTGCGTGTGTGTACGTGTACGGCAACCAGAACATATAACTGTTATATCGTGTTTATGTTCACCAATTTGATAGACTGACTCAAAAGAGCACATACTGGAATCAATCACTGCGTATCTCATCCGTTGACTCTGACGGTGCACCGCTGAAGCCTGGAATTCTTGAACGTTTGTGTTCATCATCAGCGTCGTCAGCCTCTCTCCGTGCCCCCGTGCTCAACGAACTCACTCCCCTCTGCCTGACGCCGCCCACTCTCGTCCCGTTCTGTGCAGCTGCAATCCATTTCACTCCACACGCACACGGATTTCATTGTCCCGTGTATCCTTAGATTGCCCCCATCTGCGTATTTAACTCCCTGGTCTATCGTTATTTTACGAGCGTTGCTCACGGGTTCCCATCCCCACGCAGCGGTGCGTCTTGCATGAGTCTACTCGGGTTTTCTCTATGTTTTTACAGCAAGCCTCAGGTCACCACCACGTTATTTCCTTTACCAATATCAGCGACTATATATGACCTAAAGTATACTTTTTTTCGTCTTTTACATTTAAGCATGCGTGTACGGAGAGACGTAAAGAGTGAACGTCGATGAGGGAACATGTGCCGGTTGAATATATCATTCAAGGTGTCAAGAAGAGTAAAGTCGGTGTTGGAAGTAGACATTACTGGAAGAGATGGCGGGCCGATGGTCAAACAAATATAGACGGAGCGATGAAAAGGGTGCAGCAGTGACTACCTCGCCTGGTCTACAGGAGGTCGTGGGTTCGATCCCGACCTTGAAGCCTTCTGTATATTTGGAGTTTGCGTGTCTCTCTCTCCCTCTGTACCAGCGTGCACGGCACCCTCATGTTCACCTTCTGAAGTGCTTGCTCGTCACCGTGGCGTGCGCGATGACCACCACAGCCACGTGACTTTTCTTTTGTGTTGTGCGCAGTGCTTGTAGCGCCACAGCGCGTGGATTTGTAGCGTTTATTTTCATTTGTTTGCTGGTGACTGTGTATTTCGAATCGAAATCGCCTCCAGTGCTGTTGCTGCTGGCGGCAATTAAAGTTGTTTAAAAGTCAAAGTCTCTCTCCCCGTGGTCGCGTGGATTTTTCTCCAGCTCCTCCGGTTTTTCCCTCCACAGTTAGAAACACGCGTTTGGAGTATTTGGCTGCTGCAATAAACTTCCACGTGATGATAAGCCGCTTCGTTGAGCTAGCATTTGTGGCCAGGTTGCTTCTGATAAAGAACTATATAGCTCAGTGGGCCTTACCTCGTAAAATACACATTGTTTAGTTTAATAGTTTAGCTTCAAACAGCTCGCGTGCAGATGACGGGTGGATTGTTATATTGTGGCTGGGGGAAGGCCTTCATTCAGCAGTGGATTGACCATGGCTGATATTAATATTCTCATATATATACACAAAAAACAATAAGCACTGCTTTTCTGCGTTCTAGGTTGTAAAGTATACACTAGTTTGTCTAACTCAAATTGAGTGCAAAGGTATTTTTTCATGAAAAAGAAATATAAATGTAAAAAACTACTTGTTTACAATATGGAACTCACTCAAACGTTTGTAGAATTAATGTCGTTAGGTCTACTCCATTTATAGCCATTCTGAAGACTGTGCCTTTCTTTTTATTGCAAGAAAACTCATGTGAATGTTAAAATGCTGCTTATCGTCAATGTTTCTAATCCCCAAAAGCACGATTCTGTAATATGATTGTAGATGTTGTAAAATGTTCTTTTTCCCTGGCCAGAAGCATGCACTCTTGGCACGTTTTCTCAAACATCACAAGTCTTTTGACATTTGTGTTTTCCAGATGAATAATCGTTTTGCACCAAACTGAATGTCCCCTTCGTACTCTCTTGCGATGAGATGGAGGAACAAGATTTTAAGGACTTGCTTATTTATTAATAGCCTAAGATTGTAACACGACTGGTTAGGCGTTCACTCGGCCCATCAGTCCTTCGGGGGTGATAAAATGAGTATCGCTTTGATGGTGAAGTCAGCATGTGGATAAACTTCCCCCTCCTATAGGATTGTGTAATGTCCACCACTGGCTCAGTGCTGTACATAGTCAATGTGCGCGACCTCAGTGCTCACATGAGCCTGACTTTTTCTGGAAGCACTGATGCATCGACCAAAGTGGATGAATTAAAACCCACATTCGCGGTAATTTTTGAGATATGTATTTAAGTTGACTTTCTTTCTCACCCTACGTAGCCAACAGTGCTAATCGGAGGGCCCTCTATTCATTGCCTCTGGGTTCTTTGTACGGAGGGAGAGAGAGCCAGCCAGAAGAGTCAGGTCGGCAGGAGCGCCTTCACTGCTGCTACGGCGTCCGTTCTAATTCTCCGAGATAACTTGTGGTCAGAAGCGGCGGGCTAAGTTTACTCCACCGTAACCCACAATGCAGAAGAGGGGGGGGGGGGTGAGCTTTCTGCTCCTGGATCAAGAGACGCGTGACGGGCCCGAACGCAGCGTGACGGGCCCGAACGCAGCGCAAAGGCATTGACCGTTTAGTCACAGGGCCTCGAGGTGAACCGGCGACGACGTTGGATGCGGTGGTGGGTCCGCTGTATTCTCGGGCTCGAGGTATCGGCGCAAAGTTGAGAGCGAGCACTTTGGGCCGCGTCCAAACGTTTAGAAGCAGAGCTGCCCCGTTTTTTTTTTCTCCCAACAAAAAAGTTGACCGAGATGATTTGCGTGGGCTCCAAAGAGTCGCTCGTCATCACGGTCCAGGGATGATAGGTCACAAGAAGCCAGCAATTAGGATCGCGAGGGTTTACCACTCACCGTACTGACAGCGCGGACCATGGAATCCCTGCGGGCAGTCACATAGTTGGGAGGAGTCTGTTGAGCATGTCCCTCCATTGAAACAGACTCCTACACTGCACGTGGCTGTAGGGTAGACAACGCACAAAGCACAACATTTCATTAGCAAGAGTTAAGATAAGGTAAAGAGTAAAGGTGCAGCCCAGTAGTTTATTTCTCAAGCTACTGCTGGCAGAAGGGCCTCCTCCACAGGGAGCTCCAGAGAGCCTCTCGAAAGAGAATAATTTGAGAGAGAATCCGTTGGCCTGCTCTTCCATTTCCTTCTCGACATACATCTTGAAAGGGATGGGAGTACAGTACCCCACTACCATTGCCCTCCTGCCTATCGACCAACTGTGATATACCCATTTATTATGGCTTGGTAGACAGAGACAGAATGATTTACGAGACGTGCCCATTGCTTCATCTGCTGCTCCGGGGAAATCAAATCGGATCAGCGATCTCACTGGACGCCCAGCGTGCTAATCGTTACACCACTGCAGCATCCTCAGCAGGAGTTTAGGTTCGAGTGAAACGTGTAATAGGCATGGGCTAATGCACAGACACAACACTGAAAATGTGACTACATTGAAACTGTTTGGCATTTGTTATTGGTGAACTAAAGTGTCCGTGCCCAAATCTAACTTGGTCCAATTAAATTTAAACCGCCATTGTAATAAATTGCTCACGTCACATTTGCCAAGAGATTTGCAACGACGTGAAGTAGTTGGATCACAAAGCAACGACTACATTCATGGATATTCCAATGTATTATCCCAGCCCAAATGTATAAGTAACACTGCAATTAGAATGTAATATATATATATATGTTTGGCAATAACATTAATCGAACCCTTCATCATAAGTGTATTTGATGAAGCAACAGACAAATACAAATTCCGGAAAATATGAAATGAAACTAAAGTTATGTCCCGAGGTCAAAATATTGTTGATATGGCAAAGAGCACTTTGACAGTCCACTGCTGGCGAAGGTCCTCCCCACGCTGTTGTTGGTCATGGACGGTGTAGGGAGGCTCGTGAAGGACGCTGCTTCTACTGGGCAGTTGGAGGCAGTCGCTCTCCAGCAACAACGGAGGGCAGAAGAGCGACGCTCACAACAACGAGCGGAGCGCTGGGCGACTAAAACACACAAAGTTGATACAGTAGGGTGCACAGGTAGTGCATCGGCCAGTCATCTCAGTCAGTCGACCCATGGCACCTGGGTCTGCCCCGTGACCTCCTTCCAGCTGAGCGTTCGACATTTCACGTGGCCTTAAAGTGCACATAGCCTGGCACAAGCGCCGCGGTGACGTCACTGCCACTTAGTGTCTAATGGCGCTTGTTGTTGACCATACTTCCCCACGCTTGTCAGTGCTGATCGGTTCAGATATCACTCATCGCTGATGTTAGCCATGGCTCGGAATCGAACTGCGGCTGTTCGGTTCGTAGCGCAGTGGACTAACACGACCTGCTCCCCATAAACATTACGCATGGTTAGTACAGTTGGCTACTTGTTGTCTACTAAACATGCATATCAGCTACGAATACTCACGAGAACAGACAGATAACGTTCACTGACGTTAGATGCTAAATGGAGCCACTGTAATGACTGTGAGTGTGCTTCTTATTTGTTGGAATCCGAAGTTATGATAACATTTTATCCTCGTAGGATTTTATCTTAAAACCAATCGCACTCCTGCATTCCTAGCATTGTGATTTTCATACGAATTTATAAACGCATTAAAACGCTGTGAATTAAAACCATCCTCTCTGCCTTTCGGCGCACGTCAACTCTGGGAGCAAACCAATGACGAATGTGCATTGCTGATCGTTCGTTAATTCTGATTAATATTTTGCTTGGTACAATCAGAAAATAAGTCGGGAATCCTCGCGATCTGTACTAAGAATGTTGCAGCTACTGCCCCTTTTTTGTGTCCGTGTGTTTCGTTGGTTTTGGTCGATCGCTCCGCAGAGCCAACTGTTGACTTTGCGTCTCCATCCTGGCTTAAGTTTTCCTCAGGTGGCAACAGGCCACGGGCCCATTGTTTCCACGGCGTACAGAGCAGATGCTTTGTGCATTAACGCAGCCCCTACCCAGCAGCGTGGAGTTGGGCCCCCCTCCCACCTCCTCCCTCCCGCAATCGAGTGTTGATGAAAAACACCATTCATTTATGAAACACAATTGTTATTTTTGTTAATAAATATGCATACAAATCTATGCATATTCAGTGTGTTTGTACAATGAATGCAACAGAATATAAATATAGCGTGCAGAGTGGGCCATCAGCATGTTGCAGACCTCGCCGTGACCTTATTAAAGCAGAACATAAATGTGGCCCTGTTATATTCATCAAATTATTCTATCACGTCTTAGTATCGAAGTACATTTTTATCAACGTCATTTTGCTAGTTTCCCCAGGAAAGCCTCACTGAGTCTCAAGACTCTTTTTCAGAAGGGTCCTACCAAGTCGTCTGTGGAGCCTACGTTGAATCACAAATTGAGAAATTTGCAGGTGATGTTTCAGCATTGGCATGTCTTGGCCATCTCCAGTTACGTTGGCTGATTTTATTTTAGCAACGGGAGGAAGCGGGAAAACCCGGAGGAAACCCCGTGAAGAACAGAGGGTCGAACAGACAAACTCCACGCAACAAAACTGCGCCCAATTAAGGGATTGAACCCAGGCCTTTCTCAATGTGTGGTATAAGCATTGTGTCACCATGCTGCCCTTAATTGTATAATTCCTGCTTTGCAAAAGACACGCTTACATCTCAGTTGGCTCTGGCTTGATTTCGTTTTTTTCATCATTACTATCTTGTATGTATGTTGAACTTCTTTTGCACTGTACATAGCCAACCATGCTAATCGGATGATAATCAAGTGCCTCTGACTTTTGTTTGTTATTTTTTTATTAACAATTTAGTTAGGACTCTGTAAACAATTTGCGTGAATAATGTTTTATTACAATAAATTAACGCATAGGTCATTGCATTATTGGACGTTCTTTGTCACAGCGTGTTGATTCGCACAATCCATTTAAACCTAGAAATGGCATTAACTCGATGCTCAGGAAGAAATGCACAGTAATGTAAGCACCTTAAACGTCCAAAATAGCAGCGTGAATTTTTCATAAAAAAAAATCCCATACGGTGTAAGAAACTCAAGGCATAAGTACGAATGTTTCCACGTGTTTGACCAAAAACCACCGCACGATGACGTTTAAAATTGCGCATATATATGCATTCATAGTGTGTTTGCACAATGAATGACTCGTGTGGGATTTTTTTAATGGAAAAACAAAGAGGGCAGAGAGTAAAAAACATTGTTTTTTTTCTGCTCTGATAAATTCCCATTTTCAGACCGACCACTATTCACCATATTTCAATGGAACGGGCTTCATTTGAACAAACAAAATTCCCTTCTAAATTAAAGACCCACTTAACTTTCACCGCAACGGAAAAGAAAAAAAATAATGAACTGCAAATCGGTGCCAAGATTCAAAGTTTAACTTTAGGGAAATCAATTTAAATAAGTCCCAGCATGGTTCATTTTTTCCAAAAACCCACTATTTCTGTTGATAAGTGACCAAGATCCAGACACAATAATGAATGCATACCACGCCATGATCTCTATCGAGTAATATATGTTCAAACATTTTCCGAGACCCAAATCTGAAGCGGCTTAATATTGGCTATGATGAGTGGACTTCCTGACTTGTGAATGAGATTAAGCTCTTGAGAAACAACTGATTGGTCATTACAATGGCCTCTATTGTGCCAATGGCTTTAAAGGACAATGCCCAGACTGTTTCTTAGCCCTAATAGCTTGTGGAGGGTCCTCTTTGTTGATGTCAATGATTTAATCGACCTGCACTTTGTATTTGCACCCAATTTAACATGCTCCTTCACATTATAGTAATGCATGCTTTTATCTTACACTGTTGTTACATATATATGGCGAACAAACACTAATTTAACCTTTTTTTTGTGACAATCCATAAGTCAGAATAATTTGCTATTCATATCCGAATTCTTTGCTTTAAATACCAAGGCTACATTTAAATGTGAGATAAGTGAATTGGCAACAATGTTACATGCGTTAGAACACACCTGAGTGTCATCTGCCTGTATTAGTGCGACTCCAGCTGTATGTCCAGCTCTGAGGAGCCATGAGCAGATCAACTTGTGGAAGAAGCTACACAAGTGTTGATGCATGTTCTGTTTAAAGCACCGGCGTAGTGGTCAGTGTACTGCTGTCTCAACTTGGTGGCCTTCGTTTGATTCCCGGCCATGGCTAACATCAGTGGCGAATATTGGAATCTGCCCTGGGGCCTCGTCTAGGTTGACTTAGCCGTAAATAAGTTCCTGGTGCAGTGTCTAAACATTTGCATTGCGGAGACGAAGGCGGTTGGTTTGTCGTGGTTCTGGTCACACCATCCCCCTTGTGCGTTGAGCCGGCCTTTATAGGTGCTCACTAACGGAACTTGCCCCAATAACCTGCTAAAGGTCACGCCAGGAATCTTTGTCTATTTACATCCAGGGGTGTGGTGAGCAACGAGGTTAATGTCCTCTACAAAACCACCAGCAGCTAGGATAAGATTCAAGTCCATACTCATAACTGTATTGCATAATTGGCAATTGGGCTTTAACCTAGCCTAGGCCCCTCCTCAGTGGACTCAACCTTAATATGAAAGCACTGTGAAAACATCAGCACAGGGGAGAGACAAAGGTGGCCAAGCATGATGCTGCGGTGCTCGCCACACTACCCTGCCGGGTGCCTAGCCGAGCTTGATAGGCGCTTCCGAACACAACGTTTTGCCCACTCAGTTACCGTGCTAAATCCAAGGTGACACGGGCAGTGGGTGGGACTTGCACTTTTGTATTTACAGCTGGGGCAATGCAATTTACAGTTGTCAGTAACGTGACACTGAAACCCACACATTCAGGCAACTCCGTGAAAACTCCAACGCCTACACCCAACGGAAATGTACAATACTGAGACCTCAATTAAACGTCTTCCAGTTTGACCCCAGGGGGCCATTGCTGTAACTTTACACTTTAGCAAACGGCGTTGGTTCGTGCTTTTGACA